TCCTGTAGGTAACCTGGACCCAAACAATGTAGGACTTTAAAGGTCAACCCCAACACCTTGTACTTTGTCCAGAGATTAATTGGCAGCCAGTGGAGTGACTTTAGGATAGGTGTAATATGCCCACTCCTATTATTTATTTATTTATTTAATTAATTATTTACTACATTTGTATACCGCCTTTCTCAGCCAGAGGCGACTCAAGGCAGTTCACAGTCCTAGATATTCTCGTAATGAATCTGGCTGCTGTTTTTTGAACCAGCTGGAGTTTCCAAACTTGGTACAAGGGTAACCCAATGTAGAATGTGTTGCAGAAGTCCAATCTTGACGTTACCAGTGCATGCACTACTATCTTCAGGTCCTCCAAATCTAGGAACGGGCACAGATGACCTATCAGCCAAAGATGATAGTAAGCACGCCTGACTATCGCATCTACCTGGACTGACATTTGGGGAGGCAGATTCAGGAGCATTCTCAAGCTGCAGACACAGTCTTTCAGGGGGAATGTAATCCAATCCAGGACTGGTTGACACAACTCCATTCCCAGATTAAGACCCTTAATGGCTAGCACCTCTGTTTTATCTGTGTTCAGTTTCAATTTGTTTTTCCTCATCCAGCCCATTAGCTCCTCCAGGCATTCATTCAGAGGAGACATGCTATCTTAGTTGAAGCCGTTTCTGAAGGCATGGAGAAATATATTTGAATGTCACCAGCATACTGATAACACCTCATCCGATGCCTAAGGATGATCTCTCTCTCAGCAGTTTCATGTAAATATTAAAAAGCTATTGGTTTACAGATGTTATTGTAATCTTGGTTCATCTTATGAATTTAGGATGATTTTTGGGGCAGGCTTATCATAAATGTAAATTCAAGTTGAGCACACAATCTGGAATTCCAAAATACTAAAAAACAAAAACAAAACAAAATTGTCCTCTTGGGTAGCAGATACAGTGATATCTTTGCTTTCTGACAGTTCAATGCACATCTCAAAATTATGAAAGATATTGTGTGTATGAAACATGAATAAATTTCCTATTTATACCGGAGTTCCATCTATAAGTTATCTCATTATGTATATAAGGAAAATGCAGATACCCCAACTCCCCTCTCCAAATAACAATCTGAAATCCAAAACACTTCCATTCCAAGCATTTTAAATGAAAGATACTCAATCTGTAATCAAACAATAGCTGGATGTTATTAGCAGAGGTATGAACAATAGTAGCTTCGTGGTACACTTCATGTCCACACCATTTCACATACATCAGCAGGCATCTCCTGAGAGAGAGTTTTGAACCCTATGAAGCTGATTTTTCATAGGCAGATTTATTGCTTTCACACATCAGTATTAACTGACAATTGTAAAGCTCTAAAAGACACCGCCTTTTGAAAATTTAGGGCAAAAGTCTTGATTTTCATCTTTGTAGATCCAATTACATTCAGTCCCACTCCCACAACTGTATAAATATTCTCTATGCTTAAGGTCTTAATACCACTAAATACTGAATCCAAAGAAGTGGAGATATATCCATGAAAGTTTATGATTTTTTTTAACCTAGTTAATCTTAAATGTTCTTTTACATTTCTTTGTTCCTCTTTCTTCTTCCTTCCTCCTTATGCTTACTTTTTAAACTCCCAGATTTTACTTACCATTGTGGAGTTAAACAATAGGTTGACATGGTTGCATTAAATGTTGTAGGAACATTAACAGAACTGCAGTTTCCACATTCCCAGATCTTGCAAATAGAGGCACAGTTTTTGCTAGATGAGCCTGTCATGGGTAATATAAGGTTTAAAAAACTAAGGCTATTTCAACAGTGTTGCAGTTTGTTAAATGAGGTATGTCCTTGCCTAAGGGAAGAAAAAGGAGCAATTATACTACTTTTGTAATTGTGTCATTTTGTCTTTTGTGGGCTAAAAATAGCAGTTCCTTCTTTAGTTATTTTTTGCTTGAATCTTTGGGTTTAATCTGCGTTCCTATCAACCTGGAGACAGGATGAATTTTTAATCATTAGGTATTTTGATTTAATAAGCTTTTTATTATAAGATGAAGAGCAATCTGTTTAGGTAGAAAAAATAAGAGGGAGTAGTGTTCATTCTGGACTTTGATAACTAACTTCTTTTAATTTTGTGACTTTTTATATTGGTCTTTACATGCCTTATAGTTATTGAAATAGGATGCATTGGTGTGGTACATGCCAAGAATGAGAAATACCTTTTCCCCCCAAGGTTAAAATTGAATTTTACATCTGTTCTGCAGTATCATATTCCAGAATGGAAGGCAAAAGGATGGGATCACAGATACCAGTATATTTTATTTTACCAACAGCAATCAAGCTTTAGGAAAGGCATTATGTGTGCCCTCAAATCTCCTATCGACTTATGATGATCCTATGAATTACTTAGGCAAGGAATACTCAAAAGGTGATTTTGCCAGTTCCATCCTGTGAAATATAAAATAGATGGGAAGTCGCTATACAAGATAAGAAACCATCTAATGGTGGTATCATAAAGAAAAAAAACTTGGCCATATGGTGTATCCCAGAGGACTATATTAGGACACTTGCTTTCTACAGGTCTTGAGGATCCCCTCACTTATCTGTAATATTTTCTTCAAGAAATCTTTCTATCTAGGTTTTTCGAAATATGATATGCCTGGTAAAACAGCTCTGCTTTCCATTAATTTGTTTCTGCCCATGTTTTTTCAGGGCATGGTACATACATCTTTTTATCAAGTTTATGGTTGTGTTGTGAGTTACATTTGAGAGACTTTGTTTCAGAAAGGGATTCCATGCCCTTGATGCCTACCTTCCAAACTGGTGTCTCTTGCTGCTGTGGCTATTCTTATACTAGTAGCTGAGAGGAAGAGGCAGTCTTCCCCATGCCCCCCCCCCCCAAGAGATTGGCATCAGGATTTGGGGCTGGGGTTGTTTTTTCCAGTTAAACAATTAATTATATATTTGTATACATGTAATCACTTACATGCACCAGCACCCATGGGACATTTATTCATCCTTAATATTAATAATTCTTATATTGACCTCTTCTTCAAAATGCCAGTGTATGTTGATTTGATTTAATTCCTTTTTCTTTTACAAATATATATTCTAAGAATTTGCCCCATATTGCCTCAATTTTTTTTCATTAATCCCCTTTTATTTTACAAGTCAATTTATTGTTTATCGCAATGTTCCACATCTCTTTGTACCAGTAATCCATTTTGTATTCATAATTTTCTTTCATTTTTTTTGGCTATAATTAATCTTAAAGCAGTAACAAAAATTGCTATTAATTCTTTCTTTTGCCATTTTAATCTTATATCTACAAAATTTAATAGACATGCTATATTAGGATTTCTTTTTGTAGCTCAATCAATAATATGTCAATTTCCACAAATACTTTTTCTCAATTTTATTTTTTCACATTCCCACCATAAATTTATATAAATTCCAGTTTCTTTATTATACTTCCCACAATTTTGTAGATTGTTTCTATTATAGTAACTTAACATTATTGGAGTAATGTACCATCTTCAAATTGTTTTGTAACCATTCTCTTTAATTCTCATGGACATATTTTTCATATTTTTTTATTTTGAAATTTTTAACCACTCCTCTTCTGTAATATTGATTCCTAAGTCTCTTTCCCATTTATTTTTCTTTTCTTACAAATTGCATTGGCTCACTTTCTATAATTATTTTATAAATTTTACTTCTTAATCCTTTTGTTACTTCATCTGTACCATTCTGCTTTAATTGTATTATTAATTCTTCATATTTTGTTAATTGTTTGCATTTAAATAACTGAGTAAAACAGCCTTCCATAACTTGGTGCCCTCTGGATTACTAAAAACTCTCTTCATTTCCAGTTAGCATGGCCAACCCTTAGTACTGTACTGTAACATATCACATTGAGATAGGGCATATGAAGACATTCAATGCTAGTTTTTGGTGGTTTGGTGTAGTGGTTTGAGTGTTTGGCTACGACTCTGGAGACTGGGTTTGGAATTCCTGCTTGGTCATGGAAGCCCAATGAGCGATCTTGGGTGAGTCATGCTGTCCCAGACTCAAAAATTCCATGCTAGGGCCACATGGTTAGCATGAGCTGGAAATGATTTGAAGGCACACAACAGCAACAGATTCTGTGGGGAATGTTCCTTGGCTGATGTTGCCAGAATTAGTTGAGATTCTCAATTAATGTCATTAACAGACACACTTTTAAATCCTTTTCAGGGACCAAATAATAAATACATTTTATTAGTACCATTCATCTGCCCCTTTTCGGTTTTTATTTATTTTGAAGTAGATGTGGGACAGCAGCATGTTTAAGCCTCAGCAGCTACAAGCAATGGCCCCAATCCATATTGGGCTTCCATTTGCTTATATCAGTGCTTTGCAATCTTTGGTCCTCCAGCTGTTTTGGATTTCAGTTGCCAGAAATCCCAACCAGCTTACTAGTGTTAGAAATTGTGAGAGTTGAAGTCCAAAACACTTGGAGGACCAAGGTTGAGAACCACTGGTTTACATCAAAGGAAAGAAAGAGAGCTACATACTTCATTATAATGTGTGCTTTGTTCCTAAGGAAAAGAGGAAGAATTGTAGCTTCTTAAAATATAAATAATATCCTAAGACACAAGTGTGCAAAGAGCTCAGAAAAGAAGTATGTGTTGAATAGAATAGTGAGAATTAAGAAGAGTAGGGCTAGGATTAAGTGCAACTTTTCATAATGTCCCAAACTACTGCTGAAATTAACAATCAGTTATTTAAATAAGAGATGTGAATAAAAATATTAGTATGGTATTGTTCCAATAAAAATTAGCGTAGTTCACCCCTTCAGATGTTTGCCATGTGTGAATGTCCTTAATTATTCACTTCCAACAGTCTATCAGAAGATTGATTACCTCCCATCAGAGTACTTTGATGAATGAGATTCTGATAAACCCAAAGGCTATCTAAATCAGTCAATGACAACCCTTTTAATTCCTCCCTCTCTTACTGTAGGCAAGATTCTTTTCCGACGAAGCCACATCCGAGATGTTGCCATCAAGCGTCTTATACCCATTGATGAATACTGTAAGGTGAGTAATACTTTAATCTTAGCATTGTGGTGATCTTAAAGATGCAGACTAGGGAGCAAATACAGACATCAACCAACTGGAACATGTCCAGAGAAGGTTGACCAAGATGATCATATGCCTGCAAATCAACCCTTAGAAGGAATGACTTAGAGAGCTTAATATGTTTATCTTTGAGAAGAAAAGAGTGAGGTGATGTGATGTCTAAATTTGAATATCTCAAGGGATGTCTTGTAGAAGATGGAGCTGGCTAATTTTCTGCTGCTCTTGAGGATAGAACACAAACCAATGGATTCAGATTACAAGAAAAGAGATTCCTCCTAAACATGCAATGAAAGGTAAAGCCTGGAAAGGTAAAGGTAAAGGTTGTCCCCTGACATTAAGTCCAGTCATGTCTGACTCTGCGGTGTGGTGCTCATCTCCATTTCTAAGCTGAAGAGCTGGTGTTGTCCATAGACACCTCCAAGGTCATGTAAAGCCTGGAAGAGTTCCCTTTTTGGAATTACAATTGGCCATGCTGGCTGGAGGGTTCTAAAAACTGTAAACTAGTTTTTCTAGACACCAGTGAAGTCTTCATATGAAAAATCGCATTTTAACACTGCACCTTTATCTGCTGCCCATTTCCTTCTTGCAATTGTGTCTTTTATGAAAAGTGTGAGAAAATTGCATTCCAAATAGGCAAAATAAAGCAAAACAAAGCAAGGAGATTCTTGTGGTTCATGGATGTATAGCAAGTGCTGAGTCGTACAGCAATTAATTCTAACCACATCTTCTTTAAGCCATGTAAGCAACAATTGCTTCTCTTTTTATGCTTTCCTGGGAAAGAAGAGAAAGCCTTATTGCCAAGGACAGTCACAGAACCTTTGTTATCATGGTTGCATGAAGGTCAGGGAAAGATTCCTCTCATCAGGCAATATCTTAATCCAAAAGTGCATGCTAAGATAATGACCTCATCAGAAATAGGACTTTGGGTTGTTTAAATGTCTTAGGAAAGTTGTGGCAACTGCAGAACTGCCAGATTTATGAGCAGCTGCTTTGGGCATTTAGCAACTGGCAGCCTATCCCCAAAACAATTTCATGCAGTTTTACAGCTGTTAATGCATAGGGAGGTTTCGTATGACTTGTAGAAAAGGAGTAAGCTTGTACCCTAATTTGATCCTCTGTTTATATTTCCCAAAATGCTGGGTTCTCCCACCCTTTTCTTGGCATGTATTCCATGACCTCATTAGAAATAAGGGAATAGCAGCATATTATGGTTTCTGAAATCTGTTCTCCCCAGAAGGAAGGGGTACTAATTCCCTTCTCTTTAATGCACATATTCAGTACGTACAATACTGTGCTTTAAATAGAAACTGCTCTGGTACTGACCTCATTATATAGCATGATTTGGAATTTGGCCAAGATTGGCAATCTAATATTACGAGGCAAGAAGATGACCTCTGTAAATTGGCAACAGATTGCACCTTTCTTCTGTGGGAAACATTGTGTGAGAGCCAGCATGGCATGGTGATTTGCGCATTGGATAATGGCTCTGAGAACTAGGGTTCAAAAACCTGCTCAGCCGTAGGAAGCCACTGGGAGATTTTGAACAAGTCATGTTCCTTCAACTTGCCAAGAAAACCCTATGATAGGTTTGTATTAGGATCACTATAGGTCAAACACCTGTCCCTCAAATGGTCCAGCAGCTTGATGTTATTGAGCTAAAATGTTTAAAACATGACAAAACAATAGCACATACACACATGTGCGCACACAGGAAAAAACATTATTATGAACTCGCAACAGTCACCATCACTGAAGGCTATGCATAGATGGAGGACTTTACTTGATGAAGGGTTTGAGATATAAAATAGGGATGACTGTAATTTAAATTCTGAGCTTTCTTTTCTGGATAATCTTGGAAGGTCAAATTTTCAGTTGTTCACTACATTCTGTCTAGCCATTGTTTAAAAATGCTGAACTTTTTTCAGTCATCTGGTTATTAAAGATGTAAGCCCAATCATTTTGGAAATCAAGGCTTCATAAGGAAAGTTTGCACCACCAAAATGGAAAGAATCAATGAAGTTTCATTAAAACTACCACTTGTTTAACCAATGTAAATCTTTAACTCAATTTAGATATTATACACACACACACACACACACACACACATTGCAAACTGGGAACAAAGCAGCCCTATTATTTTTCCTAAAGCTTTCCGGTTATTTCAGGCGTCAAAAAGGGATTTTCAAGATGAGGCATACTAATGTCGCATAGCCTAATGGCAGCCAAACTAATGATATCTTATGCCCCATTATTCTTGTCTCCCTTTTTTTGCATTTATTGATATGAAAAACAGATATGGCCAATTTGTAGAATTGTAAACAACAATTTCCTGCGTATTACATGTTGACATAACAATTGACAGCTTAAAATGTTTGCACATTTAGACCAGTCCTCTTTTCTTTTAATAAAACATCCTTGTTATCTATTAATGATGTAATACAAATAAGAAAAATGAATGTTATGTGCATGGGTATTGGACTTCCTCATATACTTCATCTGAATCACCACTAAATATATTTATATAATTTATATCAAAACACAAAAATTGTTCAGTTTAAATGGGTTTAAGTGATTTAAATGGCCACAAAAAAGTGTCCAGTGCAGTTCTTGAGTATTTGTTTCAAGAGAAAGCTGGGATAAAAACAAAAATAAAAATAAGTCTGAATGCCCTATTGGGGGCCATGATAGCATGCTAAAACCTTCCAAAGCAGCCAAAAAAATATCACAGCCTAAGGATATTTGTTAGAACAGTGGTTCCCAAACTCATTTGCAGAACTCCAGGGATCCACAAAAGCATATAGAGCAAAAAATTCAAAATTGTTTTTTAAAAAACATCCATGCCAGAGTATGAAGATTGTACTGAAATTCAATGTACATCTGCTTTAAAACAAATTTTTATTCCGCCACTGAATTATTTTTGGGCAAGACTGATATGTATGTATGTATGTATGTATGTATGTATGTATGTATGTATATAGAGAGAGAAAGCCATCAGTAGGCGATCTGAGCAATGCTCCCCCTTGTTTCCATCTATTAATGCAATTTCAAAACTATTTTAAGTTCCGAAAATGAAACAAATTAATTCATCACTTTAGGTGTGAATCCAATATTTTTCTGTACCAAAATACATGTTGCTGTTGGAATTTCAGAACTTACTGTAGGAAATTTGGGGATTATCTTTTAAATGCATTTTAACTGTATATTAATATGTTTTATAAAATTAGTCGAAGGGCTTCTATCAGAACACTAATGTTGAACTTTTTACCTCTCTTTAATAACTCTGTGCAGCATGTTGTTGCATTTGCCTTTAATTCTGGGCGAATTGAGGTTCCAGGACTCCACTTGCAAATCTTGGATGATGAGCAATATTGTGAACAGTGGACTGTCCACACGCAAATTGTTGGTCATTCACACACAGAATAATTGACGCATCAGCTTTTAACTTTCCAACCGCATTGCTTTTCTTTTTCAGGCTCTGATCCAGTTGCCACCATATATATCTCAGTGTGATGAAGTCCTTCGGTTCTTTGAGACAAGACCAGAAGATTTAAATCCTCCCAAAGAGTAAGTTGACCAAATTTCTATAGCTGCACAGTGAAATTGCCTATACTTAAACTAAACAAACAGCATTCTATTTATTTAAAATTAACAAATTTAAACAATATATTACAAGCATAGTAGTCTGTTTATTTTGTCTAGGGAACAGACATCAAATAAAACCCAACAATTAAAAAGCATACATATAACAAACCAAGGATAAATTATTAACAAATAATTTTGACACAATAATTACACAAATTATTAGAACATCACACACACAGTCTATTTGTGTATCCAATTTCTTTTGAAAAAAAAGCTATTAAGTTTCAAAGTCTATCCATCAAATAGGTATACCTGGGATCACTTAACCTGTGGATCCAGTTCCTCCCCCTTCATTTCCTTTGTGCCTTATGGCTCTGTTCATCTGATTCCTCTCTCCCTTTGCCCAGCTAAAACAGACATTCATGGTAATCAGGCAAAACAGAAACATACAGCATACAGCATGCTAAACGGCTCTCCTGCTAACACCTGGATATTGTGGCTGCCATTTGAATGTTCATATGGCAGCCCCATCTTTGGAATTTGGGCCCAATGCAAGTGATTACCATGACTGCCTCCCACCTCCTGAGGATGGGATGCCCATGTAAATGCTAACATAACAGCCCCAAATTTGGGACTGTTGATGATCAAAACCATGAGTTATGAAACCCTTGAAAGTGGAGGGACGACTGTCCTGTTTCTTATCAACATTCACTCATCCGTCTTGGTAACTAGAAAAATAGAACATCATGTGCCTTAAAAGCCTCTTGTGGTTTTATCCAGAAACAACCTAAAACAAAGTTGCTTTTTTGTAGCCAATTTCTTGAGTAATTTATCCTGACGAACAGCAACCACATGCTCTTGTTTTCCACTGAAATCAAGGACAGTCTGGAGTTCCTCTTTCCTTCCTCGCATGATGCAACATTCATCTTGTGACTATGAGTTGATTGTGGCTAGAAGTCTATTTGTAAAACACCCAGAATGAAAATAAAAACAGTAGCCATCATATCACTGCTATTATGCAAACAAACTGATTGTGCAAGTTGAGACTGATAAACAGTTTATATTTTTAGAAAGAAGGGATTATTTTTCTCTCTGTGCTGGAACATATAACTCTTCAACAGCTAAATTGTTTGCAATCCTTTGTTGTCATTGATACAGGCAGTTTTTATCTATGTAAATGTCTTTAGATGTTCAATAATACTTCTCCCGTGCACACATCATTTCCTTGGTTTGTCATAGTTTCTTCTAGGTTTCTACTAGTGCTTCTTAGGCTTTGGTCCTCCAGATGTTCTGGACTTCAGCTCTCAGGAGCCCTGGCCAACATGGCCAATGAGCAAAGAAATTCTTGAAACTGGAGTCCCAAACACTGGAGGACCAAAAATTGAGAAGTTCTCTTGTAGCTTACTTGAGTTATTACTTGTGGAGTACTACCTTGGTGCAATTAATTAACTAATAACATGCTATTATTAGCCTTTGTTTCTGGCCATCTTTCCTAAAACTGTCCTTGTCTATTAACCCCCAATTCCTTTGGAATTTCTTTTGCTAGATTGGTAAGACATAAGGGAGACAAAGATCTGGTTGCTTGACTTCTTGAATAGTATGGAAGTGAGTTTATGTAGGGGTGGAACTCACACAATCTTCCAAATGTTTACATTTCCCAGCTTTGCTCACTATTGACATTATTCTGTGGCATCTGCAACTTGCAGACCATCAATATCTGAAAGATCTTAAAATAGAGTCGTGTTTTTAAATAGTTTTTATAGCAGCACAGATTTCTAAATCTTAGGTGAAGGAAATGGGATATTGTGGGGTCATTGTGGAGCCTGATCAGATTTTACTTTTACTGTGAAAGAGTCAGTGTGGTTGCAGAGAGGCTCAGTTATTTCTCTTACCATAGAGATAGATCATGTCACATTTCTTAGTATATGAGATCTTGGAGATCCCACTGGTATACAGATGCCTTCATGCTTCAGCCTAGGTTGTTCCTTTCTTCCTGCTTTGTGTCTTCTGTTCTGTACCTCCTTTCTCACCTCATACTCCTCTTTGATCCTTCCTGGGATAACTGTCTGGTCTGTTCTCTTTGATTACATATGACCTGTATTTAGCATAGCTTCACTTCAGAGTGCATTAAGCCTCTTCACTGATCTCACAGTAATATTATTGATTCCTTCATAAGACTTAATCACCCCCACTCCCCACCCTGGAAAGCCTACATTGCTGATCTTATGATCTGATGCTCTACTGCACAGTCAATATACACCGCAAAGGCAGAATCAGTTTTCAGACTGTAATGTGATCCGTGTTCCATGTAGAATTGCTAAGTGTGACTTGGGAAGGTGAGCTGAAATAAAGTTGACACTCACTTTGAATTTTTTCCCTTTTAGTTTCTAACTAATTCTGGAGCATAACTTTTAGACGCCTCGCTTTATGAGACTTCAATGATATGTGTTTTAAAAATAAATCTGCAGCAACTATTGGAAAGAACTGGAGAATTGTAGTTTAAATCAGGTGTTTTAGGAGCTATGGAATGCTTAAAGAAAGAAAGCCAGACATTGTGGCATCCTCCCATAATGGACAGAAAAAAATAAGTCTTTTCACCCTCAAAATGATTTTTTTAAATTAATTTCATTGGAGCATATTTACCTTGAAGTTGAAAAAAATGTTGCTAAACTGAAGCATGATGCAGACTTAAAATTAGAACTGAATTTCACTCTGTTGAATAAATTGGACTTGAAAGTAAGTCTATTTTGATAATAGAGGGACTTCATTCAAATGCAGTTGCTACTTAAGATATCCGGTATTTAACGGGGCTGTTTGCAAATCTAGTTGTCACTGCAAAATATATAGGGATACCACCATAAAGATGAACTGATAAGACATTCCAGTTAGAGGATGTCATAGCCAGTACCAGTTTACCCTTTATTTTTTTAAAGTTTATGTTGTGATTATATTTTCCTTATCTTCAATGCTCTTCCTGGCCAGAGATTCTTCCCATAGTTTTGAGGTAAATTTGCGCAAGTCAAATCACTCAAAGGTCTAACTTCTATAACTTTCACTGAAGAAGAGTTGTATTGCTGTGATTAATTAAAGGGAAGCTGCTCTTTACCAATAGTTTTATCTTGGTGCTATCTTGTTATTGGTCACTTTTTAATTCTCTGATTCATGTTGTTTATCTGCTCTTCCCACTCTGTACCATGACAAGCTCTCTGAGCTCTGTTCTTGGTCACCTTTGTTTTCTTCAGGCCATGACCTCATCTATACTGTCCATTTAATACAGCTCCAACTTAAAACTGTGGGTACAAAAAGCACACCGCCAAGCACTTTATAGAATTCAAAACAAGTGGGGGAGGATGATATCAAAAAGTACCCCAAGGGCATTACTGACTAACAGGAAGCTAGTTGATCCCTTGGGTGGGGTAATTGATTACCTCCACTTGTAATTGCCACTTTCCCCTTTCCATTAGTGTGCATCTTTACTGGAAATGGGTGGGAGACGCAAAGTGGTTTGAGACCAGGTTCCATGCTTAATGCCATCCTAACCTATCAATCTAATTACCTGTCATGTCAGTGTAGAAGACTCCTTTGTTTTTGCTCTCCATCTTTAATGCCTCCTTTTCTATTTTGATTTCCTGATAAACAGGTTGTTCTGTAGTCTATTCCCTGTCTATTTGTCTTTCTGCTATGGTTCAGTGACTTCTTCTGTAAGATTATAGTAAGGATAAAACAAGAAAATCTAGTTTATAAGGATGGAATGGGTTTTTATTGCATTGTACTATGCTTGTTCTGGTAATGATAGTTCAAATAACATTTGTTTTGCAGATACATTTGTTGGTCATGTATTGCAGTCATAATTTTTAAAGAATATTTTCTGAGATGTCAAGATTTCTTGACATCTGTCAAATTGAAGATGAAGTTCTAGGAATAGATGAACTTCCATTTCTGATCCATCTTGATTGATATTTGTTTGTTTTGATAACTTTTAATTATTAAGCACACTAACAATTTGGATTATGTTGCATTTCTTACGTTCATGTGTGATGATGACATTGTCCATCTTGGCAAGAAGATACTATTACATTACATTTCCTTTATGCTTTGCCTTTAGCAAGAAATAAAATATGTGTGAGAGAGGTGTCTTAGCTTCTCCAGTAGACTTCTCTTTGCTACTGCAGTGTCTCAGGGATATCTTCATAGTGTTTCATGGCCCAGAGAGAATGCACAAAAGGTGTTTATTAGGTGCAATTCAATATGTTAATGGAAACTGGTCCTTGGCGGTCGTCTTGAGGGATTGGTATGAACTGTTTGTTCAGTGTTTGTGCTGCTTGGTACACTGCCAGCTGGCCAGTCACAGTATAAAATTCATGCTGAGATGACCTACATCTGAGGCTTGGCCCAGTGTCATAACTCATGGGTGAGATAAGAAACACTTTCTTGGGGACCTTGAAAGAGAGCCAAACCTTCCAATAATAGGAAAGTGGATTTTTTGTAAAGTAGCAACTAAATGGAGAAGGAAATGCAATTTGTCATGTTGAAAGCAAAGCGCTGCAGTCATTCTGATAACACTGCCTGTGATATTAGATTTCTGCATCCGCCCTTTAAATAGGATGAATTATTGCTGCTTCTTCATTGATTCGTTCTGGATTATTCCTTTTAAGAGACAATCCTGATTTTAGTACATGTTTTCAGTAGTTTTTTCCTCTTCTAGATGGTTCATTAGCCTATTGGAGAATCAACAAAATGAGTCTTTTGGCACCTTAAACACATTTGTATATGACAGTAACGAATCATTTTTTCATGAGATACCTTTGAAGAAGTGGGAATAGCCACAAAATGTATGCTATTAATTCCATCAGTGATCAGTGAGAATATTTTTCATTTATTCCACTTTTCAATGTTTAAGAAGCTTTCCTTCTGTTCTCTCTGTGTAATTATTGCAGAACCAAGTTTAAAGATGTGGATTGACCATTATTGCAATCACCTCA